AATATTGTCGGGGAAAAAATTATTGAACTACGCTCTACTCTAGTATTAGAATAACTCACAGATTACCCCCAAAAAATATGGAGATGATGTTTATCTTATTGTCAACTGCTGGCTAATGATTTAAACTTTGTAATAGTGAAGGACTATTTAACTCATTGAAATAGTACTTTGCTTTAGTTTTAGTCCTTCTGTTTCCTTTCCCCTCCTTTTATTCGAAATACATTAATGGTAGATCTTCTATACCGTACTCATCCCTTATTTGTTTAAAGCACATTCAATTTGGAACATCGATCGCATATCCTTTTCCCTACTGATTGAATGTACTTTTAATGTAGACCATCAATCTCCCATCTTTTTCCATTGCTTGAAAGTACCTTTAATTTAGATGTACTACATCATACTATATTTTATTGGCAAGTAAAATAACGACTTCCTCTGCATGAATTTCCTGTTGATTATCTTCAACTCTTCCAAATGATAATATAATTATTCAGGGTAAAATAACATTGCAAGTTATTATAAGAAATTGGTAATCTATAGTTATTGTTTCTTGATAGTTTGCAATAATCCCATTTCTCTCTATTCGATTTCAACAATTCTAAGTCATCTATATCAATAATCGTATTGATTGAAGAGGATTACCACACCTACGAGTAGAATGGTGATCAACATATTTTCTCTTCCGTCAATGGTGATGCAACTATTGCAAAAATGCTAGTGGGAGATTTCTTGATATTTACTAACAAACAACATTCCGACACAAATGTGTTGAAGGGCAGTGTTGTAGTCCCTTCCAAAGTATCCTAAAGTGTTTGATTAAAGTGTAAAGAATATGTTTCCATAGGCAATATCAATACTGCCTGATGACGAGAATTGCGGCTTGTCAAGTAAAAGAAATTTGAATACAAGCCGATTTCATTATGCAATTCTCTCCTACTGTATAATCGGAAATGATTTCATAATTTATTGGCTAGCAGATTAAAAAAATTATTCTACATATTAACTATATCGATGATTTCCATTGACTATTTTTTATTTCGTCTCCTATTAATTTGTCGATCAAAATGATTATCAAACGATTGTACTTGCATGATCTTTTCCTTAAAGAGGATATTACAACTTGTCAAGCGTTTTTCCTTATTCTACATTGAGGGATAAAATATTTTCGCCATTTGTCACATAACGATAAACGAAAGCAATAGTCTATCTAATTTGATTAATAGGTTCATCGACTAATTTTGCCATAGTAAGATGTACTGTACTGGAGTCTCTGTTGTAGACTACGATAGTCGCCATCATCCAGACCAATATTTCTTTCATTTGATTGACTTATTCCATGGGGAAACTTTGTCGTTCAAGGAATTTAATTATGTCGCTGTAGATTCTCATTATTGCTATTCTAATTTTAATTGATAGTGCGGTTGAGAATATCCTAGTGGCGGTTACAATGAGTAATTGACTTATTCCATTGATGATTGCATCAAATATTTTCTGTCGTTACGGCGTTGAGTTTTTTTGCTTTAGTTTATGCCATACTAATAGTCTAAATATTTCGTTACGGTAGCCAATCTCATTTGAATCAATACGATAAACAGTCTACTGATTTTAATGCTTATACAACTGATCATTTGTAAGAATGTTGTTGTTAGTCTAGTCCTAATCCCCTTCAATCATCATTTCTCCTTCATTGAGAATCTTTATGATAGACCATCCGATCCATCATTTGATCAAGAAATACAATTCTTACAAGTCGTCATTTCTATCGCTTAAGATTATCATTAATGGGAGATTGATCATTGTAGCCTTTGCTACACTAATCGCTTTCTCAGCCTATACGACCAATTGACTAAATGGATAGGCTATAAAATCGACTATTTACTCAAGAAATGTTGTTGTTGCAGGTCTAGTCTATCGCCTTAGTTTTGGCATTAGCAAGATGGATAGCCTTAATTCTTGTTGAAATAATCAATTGGAATATCTAATTTTCATCTTCTATATTGTCATCTATACGAATCTGATCTCCTTTACTTAATGTTGTTGTTGCCGATGCCTTTAGTTTAATATTTTTAGCCAGATTGATAATTTTTAATCTTCATAGATTCATAGATTGACTATCCAATTGACTATTTCTTGACGGGATGATCAAATTAGAATACCTATTTATCTTCCCACGTTATCATCTATAAAAGACTGATCTCCTTTACTTTATGTTGTTGCCTATGGCCTTGGTTTAGCATTCTCATGTAGATTAATAATTTTTAATCCTAACCGATTAACTACCAAATGACTGTTTCATCAAGAAGTAATCTAGTTAGAATGCTTATTTTATTGTCCTACATTTTCATTTACATATAAGAGATTAATCTTCTTAATTTATGTTATTGTTGTCCTAGTTTAATATTAACATCTGGACTTATAATCCTAATTGATTGACTATCCAATTGGCCATTTTATCAAGAAATAATTAAGTCAGAAAGCTTATTTTATATTTCTAGATTATCATTTGAAAGAGTCTAGTCCCCTTCAGTTTATGCTATTATTGCCTATTGCACTAATTTGCAATTTGCAGCTAGACTGACAAATTTATAATTGATTGACTTATGGATTAACTATTCAATTGATCATTTTAGCAAGAAATGATACGGCTATAATGTCTATTTCATTGCTTCCCTTTTTTCATTTATGCGAGACCGATTCTATTTATATATTAACTATGGCTACGGTAATCGATCTCTTGTCAGACAATACGATAAATGAAACATTTATTTTATGAACTATTTAATAGACCGGTGGATTAAGAAATCCCGTGAATTGGAGACCCATTCTATTGCTTTAGATTGAACTTCTACTCGATTGTACAATCTTAATACAGTAACTATCCAATTAACTATTTTACCACGACTTTACCCAAATATAGTTCTGTTATAAGGTCAATTTTATCAGCTTGATTTAGCCTATACTAGCTTGATAATCCTCTATTTCTTGGATACCATAGTTGATACTATCCAAATAATCGTGATGAACAGTTTTTTTTATTTTCTCCAGCATGTGATCATTTCAACATGAAAAATTATTTCGAGATTTCATGCTGTGATTATATTATAGCTTATCACTTCTATGCTCGTATTTAAATTCTACTCTATATTCTGTTCAATAGTAGTTAAAATCATCCGCAAGAATGCAATAAATTATCCTTCAGAGTCACAAAGTTTCGTTTAAGAAATTATAGTCAAAATATCTGACTTGATCATCGTCATAATTATTGTGTATGAACTAACTAGAGTTGATACTCCAACCGTATGTAAAGTTCGGATCACTCTGACGAGTTTTCGAATACTGACAAAGCTAAGTACTTACTACCACTCATTCGTTTATTGATAATTACAACGGCTTTTATATGTGCGCCGTCAACACTTACAGTGTAACGTTGTACAATACATAGTTTATGATATCCATATCTAGAATTAGGCAGACTTGTAAATTGTAAATTAGTCACGAATATTGATTCTATAATTATACAGCGTAAGTTAACTATCAATATGGACTGTAAGACATATCAATAATCATTTGTATAAGAATAGTCTAATTTACGAAGCATGCTACCGCAGCCAATAACAAAGTGATTGCAGCTATGAATAATTATTGTTACCGATATTTTTCCACCATTAAATTATGCCCCTTCGATAGTTTTATTCGCTATTATTATACCTTAAAATAGAAGTTACATTCTTGGGCTTCGCTGCTTAATCACATGAATGCCAAAAATAATTTGACCCTCTTTTCGTCAATGCATCTTACTATTGCATGATATAATTTAGATTCGACCAGAAACACCAGGACAAATTCTCGATTTTGTCGAAATTTTATTGATGGTATAGCCTTACCACTATAAGCCGATTATCATAGTTTCTCAACTTTCTGTCTTTCCGTTTGCATAATGTATTTTTTTATCCTGTAATCTTGCCGATTAAATGGTTTGGTTGACGATTTTAAAATCCTAAAATAGAACAACTATTCTTCAGCCGTGCTGGCTAATGTAGACAAAAGCTAAGAGTAACTTAATGAACTTTAACCTTTATTCTATTTTTCTCATCAGTATATCTTGTTGTTTTATAAATTAACCCGATCACTAAAGCTTCTACATTTTCTATCTTTCCGTTTGACTTTAGCATTTTTCTACCATCAAATCACGTCGGATAAATAATTTTGTTTATGATTCTAATACCCAAAAATGAAACGTCTGTCACGTCGATCACTAAAGCTTCTACATTTTCTATCTTTCCGTTTGACTTTAGTATTTTTCTACCATCAAATCACGTCGGATAAATAATTTTGTTTATGATTCTAATACCCAAAAATGAAACATCTATTCTTGGGCTCTAGCCAATATAGACAAAGCTAAGAGTAGTCTGCTGATTTTTTCCAGCAATAAATCCTGCTGTTAACTGTACATCTAGGTCTATTGTAGTCCGCACAATTTCTATCTTTCCATGTGCTGTAGTATGCATATGCTAAATGGATAGCTTTGATATTTTATCATCTCGTGATGGTTATTACACACTTTCTCTACATACTTAAATTATAATCGGTTGTCCATAGACGATAAGTCAAGTTTAAGCTTGGCACTGTTATCGAGCTTAGAATAACTAGATTGTATTCCATTACTTTCCTGAATAAAACGTTATGTATTACGGTATTTAGTTACACTTTTAGAGTAGATATCTTTCTATGTGAATTCCTGGTCATTATTTATTAAGCCTATTTGCCGAATATCATCTCGAAATTACAGAAGTTAATCCTAAACATTTAGCTCTTATGCGATAATATGCGTTCTTGAAGAAAACTCATGTTAGATCAGAATACCATCTCTATAGTGCTTGCAAATTTAAGTTGTATACTTTAACCATTAATGGCATATAATCCCAATTCACCATAATGGGAACTCATTTCAGAGCAACTATCATTATAAATTGTCAAATTAAGTTCTTCTATCGCATTCAATGGACGGATTATCCTATTTGTACAACTGTAGTATTGAAGTACCTCTTATTACCAATCTTATAAAAGAGATTGATCGCTTGAATAAGGACAAATTGAAGTCGGACATTAAGGGAATAAAATCTACAAATCAATCCAAAGATTTATCTCTTAATGTAAATCGTAAAATTGTAAAATTTAGCTATAGTAGAATGACGTCCAACCCTACTAAAAATGAAGAATAATGGCATTAAAATTTTATTAGATCAATCTTATGAGAATTTCACTATTGTCACCAACTATTACGTCAAATTATTTGAAGATAGGCTATGATTCGATAGCAAATCGATTAATTATTGATATATTGAAGATACCGTTAGTAATTATTGCTGTTCTATTTCATATGACTTGTCATATTGCTAGCAAAAGATCCGTTCAGTCTTTCTTTCCAATAAAACGTTGGGTTTACCCGACAGACTTATATCTTCCCATCAGATCCAGAACTTATTGAAAGTAAGTCAACTTCTATAGCTGAATAAAATTGCTACATCTATCCATAAGTAATCGGTTTTACTGTTGCGGTATTTTAATATCATGATTGATGTTAGCGATTTAGGTAGCTTATGCTAGCTGTGAGATATTAATTATATCTAGTATCTACTAATTATTTAATAAGTACCTTATACATATTATTTAAATTTTTAAAATCTAACTCCTATAGATTTTAAAGAGTCCGCTTTCCCCCGATTCATTATTAGCCACTGTTCAATGTGTTAGGTAGCCAAATGATGGAAATAATACAATTAAGAACGAGTATAGATGTACAATTATGAAAATTTCATATTTTTCTGTTATATAAATGTTTTAAAATGTGAATATTATGCAAATTTACACTATTCTATTTCCTGTCATGGCTGTAATATAGACGTAGTATTGAAACTGATGAAATCGAAGACCAGCTACTTAGGTAAATTTATATCATAACATCATTTCCATCTATTGATAAGTATGAGTATGCACACATTGTTGATGGCCATCAATAATAAATTTAATAAGGATTTTGGTAGGACATTTATTATATAGGTCACGTTTAAATCATAACCTATGGCTGATGTATTGATATCTTTTCATAACTCTCATCTTATACCTTTCTATACTAGAATACTGTAGTAATTTGTAAAAAAATCTATAGCATACTGTATATGAATTGGAGCTTAGCATAATTAGTAAGTTTAATGATGCTATAGTTGTATAATTTTAAAAATCCAATCTGTTCAAAATATTATAATATCTACAATGTAGGTATAATTTCTAAGTGGGTTACGTAAAAGATACGACCTGTAGTCCGAATATCTAAAATCATTTTCTTAACGATTATCATTTTACTAATTTTAGCATCAGAATTCGATAAAATAGGAACGTAGTAAATATCTACTACCTTAATAAAATTGTAGTTGAAATAATATTAAACTCCATATCTAATGTTATTATTTTAATTAAAAGAGCACAACTAATCGAAGAATTACTAAAATGCATGCATCGGATTGATAAGTAAGCATACATGATCGATTATAAAGTTATAATGTTGTATAACCATCTCAATGATAGTCAAATGATGATAGATTTTCATTGCAAACACTATCTTATTCCTCCTTATAATGATATTTATTGGTATCAATAATTGTGGGATATAATTGTGAACTATAGGATAGTTAAATTCTCATTTAGCAAATATCCTGTCCTATTTTATTAAGCTATCTAACATTATCCTAAATCTATCTCTTGCGTTAGTTGTAATTTCGAGATTCAGTGTGAGGTATTCCTCATGATTAAACCTGTAATAAGACAAGAAAGAATAGCCTTCAAAAATGCAGGTAGTGATTTTGTTTATAAGATATTTATTTTCCTAAAGTGCTGTTAATTCTATCTACTCGTAAATTAACCGGTCAATATCAATTTAAGATAATCCATTGCTATATATAACGAGAACATAACAAATTGTCTCTTCGACTTTAGATGGGATGTCTATTGCGGTAGAGTTGCTCTCTTCTCCATCTCTAGAAGTGGTTACTTCTGTCTGCAGCGCTATTGAATCCATATCATATGATGTCTATATTCACGATAACAGTTTATTAAGAAAACTGATCAACATAATCTTCTTTCACAATCATAATGTGAGTTCATCAATAATATCGAAATTTTTAAGGCGTTTTCTTGCTGTCTAGCTATTAGGAACAAAATCAATAAGTTTTTTTGTCTTGTTTGTATGAATCATTCCTTAAAATTTACTGTTACTTTTTTGTAGTTGTCAATTTTTTACAAATGAATATTTCAGTAGTTAACAATTAATAACTATATGTTTTGTCTAATTTGCGTCACTGAAAGCTAAAATTTGTGCAGTAAAGACATTATTTACCCATAAAAGGAAAATGATAATTCAATCTAAATCGTTTAAAGCGGTTGATGATATGAAATGTTAGCTACGATACAGCTATAAACCAAACTGTTCTTTTATGTAGTTACCACTGCTAGATATAATAAGCTCTATGGTAAGACATATTAATATGAAAACTAGAAGATTAACCAAAAAATTTGTGCTAGAGGTAAGTAAGGACACTATTATGTCGAAGTAAATTTCTAAGTTCATTACGATATAATCGACGTACAATAAATTAAAGGTTTAAAGACGGTATTAAGCCTATAATTATACTGTTCTGTTTCGATTATAATACGCTCATCATATGTAATCATCATAGATGATTCCTCTCCTTCGAGAACTGTTATGGTGCTCAAGCACTCAGGTAGATAAGTAGATAAACAATTAGTTTTACAACTATCATTATCGGTACCCGTTTTTTAAATCAATTATGGTAAAAGTAGATAACGTTACATTCCGTTTAGACCCTCAAATATGCTATTAGTAAGACTAATATTTAAAACTAGTAGTGATATTGGCAACAATAATTATAACTTTATGACATAGTAAATGATCTAATAATTCGTTTGTTTCAGACTGTACACAACTTGTGTATCATAATCGACCATTACAGCAATATTGCTTATGCAGATAGTGCGATTGAAAAGGTAATCTATACTAGGCCTCAGAATACTATAATAATCTTCTGTCTACATCAACTTAATGCTATTCTTAAGCCATTAGGATAGCATATACCATATCTTTACCAGCACTAACAATCCAATTGATTATTGATATTATCTTATTTGCCAGATACTAATGCCTCATTCCTTTCTATAACATCTTTTATAAGATGATTTTTGATAGTACTTTTATTATGCATGTTATTTCCATGACAGAATCTCCATGTGAATCGTTAAGGGTAAATTAAACATATCTAGAGCCACAATATAAAATGGATAATAATCCTCTGTAGTAGGTGGGTCTGCTAACCATTTCTTCTGAATATTTCTAATAGGAAGCTGCTTTAATGACAATTTCTAGCTTAATTAATGGTCCATTGCAAGGCATTTCTTTAGAAGAACGTAAAAGAAGAATTAAGGTAAGTGGCCGTACTTATTATCAAGAAAAGAGAGTGAACTACTTGTAACATTAACCAACCGAATGCTGGCTACATAATTATATCTTATTTTTGCTTCTATGCATATATGTATAGACGGTAATCGATTATGGTATTGTTCGATATATAAAACCGAAATTTTTCGAAGATTCCGATAAGGCATTTTCATGGGTATATCATAATCTATTCAAATTAAGTTTAGAATAATTTAAAACTGACTGCTTGCAGCTAAAAATTAAGCTAATAAATAATTACAATATCAATCAATATTTAGACAACCTCATCGCTTCTAAAAGCTATTGCAGCAAGCGAATATCGACAGGTAGAATTATAGGACTTAGAAATTTCTTACAGTGGTGATCACACGTATTTCGGTCTATTGCAATAATTATTCTTGTATGGGATATCAAAAGCGAAAGCTTTCACGTCATGTCATAATTTTCTGCTCCTTTATTTCTGATACAGGATTTAATTGATTGTGGAATTATCACCAGAATCATTGAATTAACTGTAAAGGTATTAATCTCTCAATTTTATTTTATGGAATACAATATCTAATTATACAACTGTACGACAATATTCTACGCGCTTTGATGGAAGCATTCTTGACAGAAGCTTTGTCGAGCGCGACTATAATCGCTTTTGGTCATAACTGCTTTAGTAACTTAAAGAGACTGTAAGATCAAAAGTAATAAGCCTTTTCAATTCTTCTTGATTAAGGGCGACAAATTATTTGGTAAATTTCCCGCAAATGCCGCACGTCAGATTTTTTCAGAATACGCTGTACACGGGAGTAAAGAACAGGTAGAGAATTACCGAATATTAATCAAATCATTGATTTGTAGGATTATTTTTTAATTACTAATGCCCCAATTTTGTATATCAATCTCAGGGCATACCTAGCAATAATGACATATGATATTAATATATGATGTTAACTAGAAAATTTCGTTGCATATTCGTCAAATTATAGAAACTATTTTTAGCACGAAAGGGTGCTATTATTTTGTTTTGCAACCAAATAAGAGAGAAGTATCAATCGAGAGTGGTAAGAAATATTTTAATAATGTTATGTGTTTAAAATATGATAATAAATCAGCCTTTGCTTATTGATAAATTCGTACAGCAGAACTCTCCACCTGAATTTAATTATATCACCCTAATCTATTATTAATATAAAATGGTACAATTTAGGAGTTGGAGGAATGTGCACTTGGAGCTCTTAAACTCTTTCAGGTACGCAAGATTAAATAATGATAGTAAAATGAAAAGACTTTTTCTATAATTGTAATGTTTAAGTATATCGCAACAATACTATCTAATCTTGATATTTCTTCCAGTATTACCCTATCCTTTTTAGACTAATCATTTTCTAATATGACGTAATTAATTTTTTTAGGCGATTGATGAAAGCTCTGATTTGCAAATTATACATAATCAACTTGAAGAAATCAACGGTTTGAGACGTAAAATTATAAATTAGCACGTGCACATAAACAATTTACTATAATTGAGATGGGACCATTCACAGTTAATAAAGTAGTATAGTCTGAATGTATATGTAAATTTATATCTATTAATGGATAGATTTTAAAAGTATTACAACTTGAACATCGATTTAGGAATGAAGAAACTAGATTTCATTATCAACCGTATACGTGGGGACAAGTTTGAAGAAGCAAAATGCCGTATTAAAAGCTTACTTGATCTATTTTCTACTCATTTTCAAAACTTATCAATTCATAATAGTTCAGCAAATTTACCGAAAAATCTTAGCTTACAAAATTTACCCAGTCTTCATGGCACACAACATTTACCAAGTCGTAATAGTGTGCAAAATTTAGCATCATATTAAGTGATTACTGATAAATTTAATTATCGTTACCGAAAGCCACTACTACTGTATGATCAATCTGAAAGATTGCAATTTTTAGCAAATTGTATATATACACATTTGCTTGTTTCATTTGTAGCTATTCATTTGGTTATTGCTGTGCATCCATATTATATCGGTAAATATATATGTTTTAGACTTAACTGATTAATGCTTATTATTAAAATAAGCAAAAATAAACGAAGCTCTTTCATGCACTTAATAAAAATTCTATCTAAACTATTGATATTTTTAATGACCGAAATTTATTTGATCTGACATTTGCTTTCGCTATAAACATCTATATCCTATGTAATTCAATAAAGGGCATGAAACCCACATAATAAATGTACGTTTATTTGAATTTCTTCCACTGAATGATTCTCGCAATATGCCAAAATTAGTAAAGAGATAGCTCTCTTAAGCAGCTTTTAGTCACTATAACAAGATTTAGATTTTAATATCATAGCGTAAGGATACGTAACGTTAGTAGAACGTAGGAAAGTAATTTTATTTTATCTTCAGCTATTTAGGACAGCGATACGAAGGATTTCGTAACAGTTTTTGATCGTTCCAATTAAATGCGATAGTTTCTATGTTCTCTAGATCTAGGTAGGGTGTGACTAAAAGTATATACTGGCTGTACTTGTATAATACCATGGATATAGAAAATAACAAGTAGATAAATCCAGCGAAACTATAATTACATTCAACCTTGAACTAACATTCTGTTCATATACATATAGATTAGAAAGAAAGAAAATGGAAGGTAATGTGCTAATGCGATAAAAAACATTTCTACGAGTAGCTGAATTTAATTTTTTATAAATAACAATATTCAAGTACAATTTTGAGTATTTGAAACGAATTATTAAAATCGAACTGTATTAAACATGCACGTATAGCAATATAACGCCATGTACGCATATTTGAATTAGCATCAATAATATTTATTTTACATCCTATACTCTATAGAGTCTATAACAATAAATATGGATAATCAATATACGCGTATGCTATCGAAACTAAAATTTTTTGATCAGCGCTAAAATGAGTTAACGATTTCGGACGCTTAGTTTTAGTTCTATGTTCGTGTCTGGTGTAGCAATAAACTTGTTTATCATTCCCACTTCTACTTTATTTAAGCATTCGATTTCAAATTCTGACACCATCTGTATAAATATTGCATTAATGCCGTTATCAGTATAAACTATCGCAAAGTTATGAATATCAGAGATTTGAAATTTTTCAGTAGAGCAGTTTTAGCCGATAGTAAACAAGATATTACCCTTGCAACCAAAATTTGCATTTCAAGTTCCGCAATTCGACGTCCTATACACATTCGTGGCCCGAAGCCAAATGGAATATAGTTGAATGAGTTGGTCTGACGGTTAGAAACTGATCGGATCCATCTTTCGGGCTTAATTTTATTGGGTTCTTCATAGATTGTTTCATCAAAAGACATCGTATAGTGTCCAACAGAAACTAGTGTCTACAAATGATAATTATAATCATGTCGTTGGAATATGTATTACTTCTAACTAATGAATGCTACTATCTTCTCTATAATGCAAGAATTTACAGTTGTAAATTTTATGCTAGCTATCAAGCTATACGGAGAATACTATAAAGGAGCAAATATTGACAAGTGTAATAGAGCATACGTTAGCTGGAACTTGATATCCACTTAATACAAGGTTCTGTTGTAGTTCCCGAGCGGTGAAGATTACTACAGGATATATTCTAAAAGAATTTTAGTTAGAAATACTTCTTAAATCTGCAAATTATAAATGAAGACATACAACCTCTGAACTTCCTTTATTAGTCCTCTTAAATATGGCATATTTTGAATCGCTTGAAAGTCTGGTTGTTCACCCTTCTTCACGTTACTTTGAATTTCTTCATAAATTCGTTCTTGTATGTTTTTATGTTTCCCCAGTACATAAAACGCCCATAATACTGTGTTAGCTGACTAGAAAAATGGAAACATGATGTAAATGATACTGTTATTGTATATATCCTATCTTCATTGATTATAAGTATGATATGTTCAACCATAAATCAGGAATCTACAGATCGCAAATTATGTAATTTTTATCTTATCCTTATAGAATTTTGTCAAGGGTTATCGCAAATAAATCCTAATCTATTCTCATCTAGTGTAGTACGACATACCAATACCACGTATATTGGTATTATAAGACTTACGGTATCTACAGCTGCCGTCATGAGTTCTATCAGGTTACTAGCAATTTCTTCATCAGTTAATTCTCCACGAAGTAAAATGTACGGTAAAAATTCCAAATCATTGAGACGACTTGGACTAGTGGTCCTGTCGATATCAATTCCTTTTCCATCATTCAATGCCTGGCGTGCCTCGTTAATTAGCTGGCCACCAACCTCGAATAAAGTATCCCAATAACCACAATATTGTTTCCAATATTTAGTCTTTATGTATTTATAATAAGGAGGATAGAATAAGAGTTCATTGGTTGCATTCAACATTTTTAGAACATTATCGTAGAAAATGGCGGCAATCGGTGTCGGAGGATCATTGAATGCACCAAGACTTTTACTGAATAAAACAGTATTGATAGCTTGAAAAAATAACCAAAGAGCATGAAATTGTAGAAGATTGCATCAACTTACTAAATACACCAAACTGTAAAGTGCAATATTTTTAATTGGCTATTTGAATCCCTTTCATTGATATTAACATTTATAGTTATGGACTAGAGTTGAGAGCTAACGACTTAGCCAGGAAACTATCTACCGTAGGCAATGTACTATACTTACTTTCGAAAGACCACTTGAATAAATAATTTCTAATATTGCTCATTTCTCCAGTAGCATGATCTCCAGTCCATTCCGTTTTAATTAAATTAATAAAACTAGTATCGACATCATTCATTCTGCCACTATAGCGACTAACATCTTTGAGCCTCAGTAATTTCTTATCTATAACACTTCGAGATTTACGCCATTCTTCGCCTTCACTAAATGATATCAAGGTACAGTATATGAGTATTTCATGTGAATGTGATTATGTAATTAAGCTACTATTATTGTAATATCTTATTTGTTACCTTGAACTATCATACGATATTATAATAGCTAACTTTTAACTGAGTGTAAACGCTAGAAAATTGCAATTAATGTACCCATTTGGAAAAGAAGAAAAAACATAAGCTTATAGCTGTAGATTAGCTCGTCTGTATTTATTCCCTAGTATAAATGATCGTTCAAGAATTGGTCTAGCAGTAAGCTTACTGTACAGCATTGTCGTTGTGCCTTTTCATTGTTTGTCATCGACTGCAGATTACAGGTAGTTAGTACTAATCAATATTATGCAGTTGTATTTGTACTATACGTGATTGTGCAGTGTACAATATAAGTTAGGATTTCTTCAGATTTATTGCTAACTCTATTGCATCCCTAAAACTAAGTTAGAGTACTGCAGTAGATCATCCTTTGATGATGAAATTTAGTGTGTAGCATAACTTCGTATAAGGTTGCATCATCTCTATTTTGTATTGCTACCCGATAAGAATTCCTTTTGCTTTCTTTCGCTGCTGTCGGTAAATGATCCATGGATAAACTGGACCTCGGCTAGGGTATTTGCCTTCTACTTTAAAGACTTTTGCGACATCTTCCGGTTTGGTAACCATGACATAATGCGTTGATCCGATGGCTTCTTTATAGATTGATCCAAACCTTTCTTTACTGTCTAACATTAAGAGATGTGGTCTCTGCAAATAAAAGCGATCATTTTTGAGGTATATCAATAGCGACCCAAAGCCTGGGATTCCTCGATGACCAGGTATTTCACTGAATGGTTTAGCATTGGCATATTCATCCGTTTGTTGGCTATCCACGCTTTCAGCAGTTGTCGAAGTGGTTGCAGTAGCATAGAAATGGCATGAAGATAAAGCAGTAGTTTGGCTACGACGAGCTACTCGAAGAAGCATGATCGTTAACGAGCAACTTGGCCAACGTCCAATAATGCTTAATGTTGGATGTAAACAATCCAATGAAACACACAAGCCAATACACAATACTACTGTAGAGGTTAAGTGAGAGGAGAAATCACTGAAGAAAGGCTTTAGTAAGCGAGATGTTGAGCGATTCGTCGTTTTGATAAAGCGTTTCCAAGGCAATTACTCAATGCATTTAGTTAACATAGCCTAGCTTAACCTCCATCTCTGCTACCTGTGTTGCATCCGAGATGATTGTTAATTTGTTTATGTACTGTATTCTGCTTGCCTTGGAGGCTACAGTACTGTCCACTGTACTGTCCAGTACAGTACAGTACAATCGTCTATCCAACTTCTTGAGATAATAATAATAATAATAATAATAATAATTATAATAATTGACCCAATTCTTGAGTATAGTACTGTACAGTACAGTACAGGTTTGAGTGAAAAGTAGCGCCTATGCCACAGTACTGTACACTAAATGACAGTGTACAGTACAAGAGGTTTTTCTCCTATCGTAGCAACTGCATACTGATAACGATGTACAAAGATGGTTTTTTAACTACAATACTAGAGCATGAGAGACGGATGGGGAAATGGCTGATGTTCCGTGTAATAAAACAGATCAGTAGTGCTTACATGTTTGATCGAGAGATCACTGACTATTTTTTCCCTTAGGTCTTTCGCTGTGGCAGTAATGAGTACTGTACAGTAGTACAGTACTGTGGACGTTAGCCAGTTTTAATGAACGAACGTACGAACGTCCAATTTGAACGTCGGACGTTCATTGAACGTACAGTAGCAACGTGCACAGTGTACAGTGTTAACACTACAGTATACTGTATACATAGTGTACTGTACAGTACGGTATAAGACTATACAGTACAGTACTATACTGTACACTGTACATACAGTAGTACTGTAGTCATGACTCTGAAATACAAAGTGTTGTAAAAGACGTTTGTACTGTACTACTGTACTGTACACTGTGAGTGTACAGTATGTATAGTATTGGGGTGGGATTATACAAACTGACTGTATACTGTACACTGTACAGTACAGTTCGTCGACGTCCGATCTGACAACGAACGTACATACCGAACGTCCAAAATCGAACGTCCGTTGGACGTCCAATCGCTCGACGTCTACAGCACTACTGTACGGTACAGTACAGTACAGTACAGTACAGACTCCGGAACTTGATCTCTGTACTGTACACTGTATACTGTAAGGTCTTTCGCTGTGCAGTACGTACAGTACAGTACAGTACTGTATGTTGCAACTTACAAGGCAGTACAGTACTGGCTCCAGAACTTGATCTCTGTACATACAGTACTGTACTGTACGTACAGTACTGTACTCTACAGTCTACAGTACAGATACTGTACATTCTCGAAGTACTGTACTGATGGCGAACCATTCCCAATCAACAGCACGTGATTGCTCGATCACACTGTCACGTTACAGTATCAAACACGGCAGCAAGTGCAGCCAAACTGGGCAGTTGCACTCCGCTCGGTTTTCTTCGGTCAAGAAAGCCGACTGCATCGTTAGAAAGTAAAGTAAAAGCATCTCATTAACACTAAACGTGTTCACTTTCTTGCATCCTTTGCCAGCATCATTATTGCTATCAAGCTCAAGCCCGCAATTACAATTACCCAACTCATGAAGCAATATGCCGAGACGTCGAAATAACAAAGGTATTCAATCATTTCTACTTTTTCATGGGTCCAGTTGTCCTTCTTCATTCATTGATCTAGAAAGTGGAGTGTCATCGTGACCAAATGGGTCTCATCGCCGGCACCACTTTCATCATCATTATCATCGCGATTGAATTATTTAAAACGTTATGACTGTATGTACAGTAGGATGATGCGACACTTACTACGATAAGCTTACTAAAAGGCAAGAAATCATGATAGTAAAATGAGTTAATCAGTAAAGATCAATCAAGGGTAGAATCAGTCGTACAACACGATGTGGAACACCATTCGCTTACCTGCTTCCAATCGGTATCAGTTTGTATAGAGTAATAGACTGGAGCACTCGTTGACAACCGGTGTTTTGCACATAGCCACCTCGGTGCCAGCATGTGCGCCGCGATCTTCACATTCCAATGATGCATACGATAACTCGTGACGGAGTAGGAGTGACTATTTTGATTATCAATTTATAAAAAGAGATCGCGATCACTATCCAATACATGGCCAATAATTTCAATCACTATTTGGTTATTCCTTTTCCATGTCTTTTTGGATAAAGGAAATGCAAGTTTACAATCGTGCATATCTATTTTGTTGTCATCAATTTTAGTCCTGATTTGGTGTCGTAGTCAGATCGCCTTTAGCCCGTCATGCTGCAAAATACGATACTGTACTACCATTTATAGCCCAGTGTTGTCTACCCTCGATGGGATCAACAAGCATATGCATTTAGTCCATTTTTTCCATCAAATTCTAATCTTGCTTTCAATGGTGGCCAACGATGAAAAGTCTGCCAGTTCTATGCATCGACTAGACTCCGTCTGAGGGTAGAATAGCCATAAAAGTTTTAAATGAATACAGACAAGGAAACTGATGACTAGTTCGAGGAGGAGTATATTTTAATAACATCAACGATAATGTAGAATCCTCTCTAGGCCTGGATTTCAAAAATAATCCACTACTGTGATATAAGTCACTCATGGTCTTTTGATACTACTAGAAAATTTATTCTTTCAAAGATGTTGTAGATCGGTACAAATTTCTATCATGAAGGAAAACGATTGAATTTTGGACATTCATTCTATATAGATACTGATGTATTACTGCAGGTTGTACCAGTACTATGGACACTAGTTAGGGTTCGGGGGTTAGTTCACAAAGTTGAGTGCATACGATTACGCCACGACGACACCAGACACCGACTGGTATTACTGCAATAGTTTGATTCTAATTTTGGATTCTAAATCGATATTTAATATGTTACTACATACCTAGAAGTACGCTAACTACCATGTTATTATTACATGAAAACAAGCGATTAACAATACAAATGATGGTGGCAAGAAAGTATTTTGATTCTGATTATTACTGTGGGTGTCTTTTATACACTGTATTATTACCATACAAGTTGGACGAATGCCAATGATGCAATGACTCTTTTCCCTTTTTGATCATATAATGATTCTATAATTATTGTTCAATCCACTCACACAGTACTCAGGTGTTTCACAGCTGAAGAATTAAGATTCACGACGTTAAAATTGAATCTAGACTGGCAATACAATACTGTAACTACATGCCACACGAAATGAAATAATTTGAATTATTATTATTATGGCTACAATTAATATGTACAGTACTGCCTATATTATACAATTACAACCACCAGTGTCTTGTTGATTAGCATCCCGCAATGTCGAAACATTAATCTTTTTCTAGAACATAGAGGCTTTTATCACATCTTATTGATTTAGCGCCAATTTGTCGTATTGCACAACACAGTATCGTACGTAGTTGGGCGATCAAATTCAGGAATGATAAATGTGCCTATGTAACGGATAAGCTGTGCGCGTGCCGATTTTTTAACTTTTCAATAAAATAATTATAGTATCACTCATCGTAATAAAAAATGCATGCACTTTACTTTGTTTAGAAACTATTTGTATAATGATACCATTTAAAATTTGAAGGTGGATTGAATTGTCAAGGATTTGGATTCGTGTCAAATCTATTCAATTCAGTAATAATTACAGTTTTTAAGTTTACACTGAAATTCAATGTACCAACAAGCAGACACATACCAGCACAAAATCATTAAAAACCCGAGCACGGCGTGATTGAAAAATGATCCTAGAATGTATTAGAATTCACAATAAATTAGTGCATGAGTTCGATCTGATTAATTATTGAAGCTTACTGTGTTGATATCGGATTGTCATGTACTATATACAGTATGCAATGCGATATCAACCATTAAAGACGTGCTTTTAATTACATTGGTAACAATAACATGAAAATGACCATTTAATTTGGTCGATTTTATGCTCATAATATGACATCCATTCTACCTTAATAGGAGATCGAGATCACCGCTCAAACAATCATAAGGATTGCTATGATGAGGACGACAACGATGAATCTGTTGAACATATGAGCACATGCAGCTCTTTCACCAGTAAAAGTGATGAAGGTATTTCCCAGATTCTATATTAAGTATTTCTCAATGGTAAAATGATATTATCTATTCTCTATTTACAACTCTCTGGAGAAGAATAGTTGCAGAACTTTATCTACATAGTACAGTGCTAACACTTATGTATTGTAATAAACTACGGTATTGTTTTTTGTAGTATACGATGTACATTCCTGCAAGCATGACTTTACAGCTATAGATTTTTAAAAGTGACCGAAAACTCTATCTTAGCGTTATTATTTTTTAATTCTGCAACTTTTACTTCGCAATCATTACTAATTTTTGTGACGAATTATAGTAGTATCATTGATAATCGTTTCGAGTGCGTTGTTACATCTTTACATAGACGTTCTGTACTATATATTGGAGTATTGATCTCTTTTCAATTGACTCTATGTATGTATAACACAGAATTGACCGCTTCTGGAGGTGAAACTGAAAATGCACAAGTGGAAATTGAAAATGCATTAGTGGATGCTATAGAAGAACTGTATGATAAAAGGTGACGAACTATTTCTATACTTAAGCAAAGTCGGCCAGTATGCATATTATTATACATGTGTACGTGTGTACTGTATACAGTTAGCCAGGAAACAACTAATATAAGGGATGATTTTAAGTTCTGAACTTACAGTAATCATCATTGATAATTGATTTATTGTCGCATCAGGATGAAGGCAACTGCCTTACAGGCCGTTAATAAAATTTTGTCCAAATCCGTCATGACAGAATTTGTGGAGAAAAGGTACGTTTGCCACTCATACCAGTGCAATCCCGCTCGTAATACGCATGTAGCTCTGATAATGTTCGGTTCCTTTACTAGGCAAGAAACACTGGCATCCCACGCAGAAAAATATGTGAAAAAAGGTAACTTTCAAGTTTATGTTGTAATACCAAATTCATTGTAATGTATCAATAATGCAGTGTACACGTACTAAGTAATTATAATTATCAGAAATTAGATTAGCTACCTGATATTTAGAATTTTAATTGTCAAATTTTGTCTGCAAAATCTGCTTCTAGGCCAACAAAAAGAGCTGGAATTGTCTACAAAGCTAATGAGTTTGCTCTTTATCCAACTTGGCACTGATAGTAGTCGGCTATTTTCAGAATTAAAACCCACGCTAATGGCTCGTCTGCGTGATACTTCGCTGAATCCTTCAAGTAGAGCTTCAGTTAGTATTATACTATAAATTCATACAGTTCATACTCTTTGATGTTTACCTAGCGCTACTGATAACACGTAGAATTGTACTACTTCATGAGGCGTAACTAATTACTATATTTACAACTACACATAGTGTATAACAGCCTTGGGATTGTTGACCTTTGTCGCCGCTGATAGTCCAGTAAGTGTATAAAATTGAAATTACATAATAATGATTATGCATTACTAATGTTCGTAAATCAATTTTTTCATAGGATACGATGGATCTTATGGAGACTCTGGAAGCTTTTTTCTATTTTACTGACAGCAAACTAGATGGTATTATATCAGCATCGCTTTCAGCTTGGTCTCTTCTTCTTTCTGCTGTACAGACCCCATCGAGAAATAAGCTCATCCATGAGTATGTCTGATCTTACAACTCTATTCCCTCATTGTAGTTAGAGTTCGCTTTAGTAATTGTTTAATTAACAAAGTTTTAGAGCTAATGTTACACTGCTAGTTAATATCTGTTTTTTTTTCTGCTATGTTTTATAGAGTATTACCGAAGCTAAAGAAATCGTTAGGCCACAATAATGTTGATGTTAGGATCGCAGCTGGCGAAACAATTGCCTTAGTTTGCGAGGTTTTAAATGCCGATACGGTAACCTTTATGCATTAAAATTTCTTTTATGAAATCTTGTACATGCCCCTTCTACTATCCTTGTGCTGATGCCTTCTAAACGTATCGTATAAATTTACAGGACGATATTTATCCTTTCGACGAAATTTGTACGATGCTGGAAGCATTAGTTGCCGATTCGAGCAAGTTAGTATTTATTATACCATGCTTCATCCTGATGGCTACATTCTATGAGCATATATAAAAGAAGCATGTTGCTATGATTTACAGGCGGCATGCAAAAAAGGATAGAGCTCAACAGAGATCTGCCATTCGTGATGTCTTGCATTATATAAGGGTAAATAATGTGCCTAATAAAATTTATCAACTCGCATAGTAAATGTTGCACAATCGTCACTATTTTATGTCTTACAGCAATAAACAGTAGATTAACTTGTAATTTAGGATGGTCAAGAATTAGAAGAATGTGTAAAGTTTGGTCAGGAAACTCTTGATATTGATTGCTGGTCAAGGTGATTTTATCAAGACATTATTATTTTCCTTTGTAGAATTTGCACTTACAACTGAATACTTTGGAATACTATGATGATTGACATTGCTTAAAATTAAATGTTATCGGTGCTCAAATAGGCGCGTACAATACAATTACATTCGAACTATTTTGGGAGGTGGTACAAATGCCCATTTGCAAGTAATTAATAGTGCTCAGTTACATTTTAAATTTTAGACCTAATTTTTGATATGAAGTACAAAAATATTGCGCAGCGGTATGACAAAACAAACTTGTAATGATAACCCTATTATAGAGCAATGAATTTGTCCGGGAAGTATTCGACTTAGGTAAGGTGTTGCCAGCAGATTTTAAATTGGAGAAAGGATCGCGTTCAGAGAGGGTAGGTGTACTGCAATTGATTAATTCTATTTTGAATAAATTTTGAACGTTTTTAATGAAACTGATTGTTCGTATTTCATTATGCAGAATTATTACAACAGTTTAGCAGCGAAAGCTAGAACTAAAGCTAGAAGTGTACATAGAGATAAAAGAGCAGACGTTTATTAAGTAAACAACTGATCTCTGTGCTGGTGGATTTTTTAAATGATGGAATCAAAATTTTAATTTTGAGACGTGATTGATTGATATTAGTACCAGTTAAAACGCTGATTTAGCACAAAGTGGTTGCGTGTTTTGGTATGAAATACTATGCTACAGTATATATACATATATATTGACTAGAATTGTTAGCTCAGTTAAGTTGAAAAATACTTTGCTGTCATATATGGTTTATTATGAATTTGCAAGAAATAATATATATTGTATAAAAATAATAATAAGATGTGCCATAGTACGGAAGGGTTTGCTACTAGTTAACCGAGAATCGTATGTAAAGCGAGCCGTGTACAGTATTAACGATTATACTTATAACTATGCGCGTGTAGAGCAAGTGATAGAGAAAGAAAATAGCAATGGCAGCCATATGCGAATATTTCTTAGTAATAGATAGACTGATATTGCAGCGCCGCGCCCCAGTAAAGTAAGTTACTATGTCCAACGAGAGCTGGCAAGCGGTACAAATTTTTTAGAGCTTTAAGCAATTTTATTACTATTCATGATTAATCGATGTGACGATTGTATAACATCAAAAGTGAATTTTTACAGAAACTATTGTATTTGTTAAAGCAAGCAATATGTTGTTAATGCCGTTAGCTACCGGGTAGCATAGTAAACGCAAATTCTGACGATAAAATAATAGGTGTACTGTACCTACTACTTACCCTAGTTTAAATTGACTTGTAGAGCATGATTGCATCTACTGCTGTATGGAAATGCCGCTCGTTTATTGTAAGCTTGTCAATTGTTACATTGTCAGATGCTGTAAATTTATTTTGTTCCAACTCGGTATATTTTTATATAACTTTGGACTCACTCTATGTTTTTATTCTGGTAGAAATTATGGCAATGAGAATTTTTGTTTTTGTTACATTGCAGAATAGTCAATTTGCAGTCTTTGCTTGTTGAAACAATTTTAAAATGCCTTGGAATAGTAGGCAGATTTTGTCTATCCCGACTAAGAAAGTAGGGACTATAAAGACAGACAATGATATTGTCATATTTGACGTTGTGATCATTTTCGTAATGCATGATTTTCATGCATAAATATTTCACAATACTTTAATCGTCCATAGACAACGACTAATGATCATCTTAACTTGTAACATTACCCTTAAACGTATTGTAATATTACAGCAGCTATAATAAAGCTTTTCATAAAGTGGGCATCGAGTATTTGCTAAATTCATGCTTAGCGATTAAACACTTTTGAATTACTCATTACTACAGACTCGATAGACTAATATAGAAAGACCAATACTTTCTTTTATCAGATCGATCAACGCCAACACACGACTAACTACTGCATATGGGTATCGTACTGTAGTACTCTGTATCTTGAGGGCAAATTAGCGAAATATCGTGGGCAGGGAGGGTGTTTGTCTAGTCATGTAAAATAATTCTACGCGTATATCTTTCAGATAAGATGATAGTATGCGCGTCTTTACTGTAAATATATATATAAGACCAAAATGGTTGAAAGATATTCAGCCTTAAATTATATCTTTAAATTTTAAAGAAATAGACTTTAAACTTGGCTAAAATTGACGAAGATAGATCAGGACAGACTTGAGCAATTGGCGCTCGATGTTTTTTTATTGCGGTATTGAGTCAATTTTATTAATTTCAAGTTTCTAATACAAACTATCAGTCAGCCGTACATGTACGGCCGGTCTAACCATACATATTACTCGTCACGTCGTCATACTGGTCTATAGCAGGGTTTTACGTCGGGTCCCAAATTAAGTCATGGCCTACTAGAAATTCTTTATAAAATATTTATTCAATTTCTAGTTTCAATTTCTAGTAGTCCATACTAAATACTCCAGCATACGCACTGTACGTGAAGTGTCACGAGCGAGATATTCTACTAGTATTTCTGTAATATATATACAGTATATTATAATGAATGACTGCTATTTTCAGCTGTAAATAAAACCAATTGCAAGTTGAAAAGCATTCAATCCACTCGACAACAGCGGATTTCCTTGGAATCGCAAAGGCTAGAGGCCCTAAAACAAATGCTTTTCTCGACAGACTGACAGAGCATCGGACTACGATGGATTAACTCGACTTCTACAGTATTCTAACTAACTCTCTATCAGAGGGAAAAGATAGATACTTTTTCCCCCTTGAGTTATCCCTGCATTTATCATGGATAAAATTCGTTATTACATCATATACTGTACAGTACTGTATTGTTGCGGTCCTTTCAATGCATTCGCTGTCAAAATTTGTATCTAACGACAGGGAAGTAAGCACAGCATTAAGCTGCACCATGAGCACTGAACAGGGACATGGACTACTACAAAAAAATAGTAATCTATGACAGGGACTATGAACTCTACAATCTTAGTCATGTTAGGCTAGGTTAAGGGGAAGATTGAAAGCCAGTTTATTGTACAGTACAGTATGTAGTCGAGGGCTGTAAAGTGAACACAGGACTGATTATATTTATTTTTTTTTCCATGGACAGACTGACAGAATATTGGACTATCTCTATGTAGTCGAGGGCTGTAAAGTGAACACAGGACTGATCATAATAATTATTTTTTCCATCGACAGACTGACAGAACATTGGACTATCCCACCGTCTCTTTGTAGTCGTTTAATTACAGTACAGTACAGTACAGTACAGTATACTGTTTTAATGAACCATGCAGCATTTCAGTACACAGTACTGTACAGTACAGTACAGTGGAGTAGTCGAGAGCTGTACTGTACTGTACTGTACAGTACTGAACATAGGACTACAGTAATAATTCATTATTTTTTCATCGACGGACTGACAGAATATTGGACTATCGCACAGCTGTGTGTTGTGTGTAATACATGAACACGTTGAAGAGTCTCTTCGCAGTCGATTAAAGTGAACACAGGACTCATAATAATTAATTACTATTTTTTCATCGATAGAGTAATAGAATATTGGACTATCCCACAACAGTGTTTTGCATGAACATTGAACTGTCGATTAAATGAATGATACCGTTTTAATGGACCATGCAGTATTTCAGTACTGTACTCTGCCCTACTGTAGGTAGTCGAGGGCTGCATTAGGTGAACACAGGACTAATTATATTATTTATTTTTTTTTCTTTTCATCGACAGACTGACAGAACATTGGACTGTCCCACAGTCTCCTTGCAGTCGATTAATTACAGTACACTGATTTCAGTACTGTAATCGAGGGCTGTAAAGTCAACACAGGACTCATAATGATCAATCAACAGATTGATAGAATATTGGACTATCCCAGTGTTTAACATGAACAGTCTCTTTGAAGTTGATTAATGATTTATACCGTTTTAATTAATGGACTATGCAGCATTTCAGTACTATACTGTGCACTGAACTTTGCACTGAACGTACAGTACAGTATAGTGTACTGTACTGTATTGTCAAGGGATGGAAACACAGGACTAAGAATTACAGTACTGTAATTAATGCATTGTTTTTTCATCGACAGACTGACAGAATATTAGACTATCCTCCAGTCTCTTTGCAGTCGATTGATGAATTGATTAATTATGCCGTTTTGATGGACCCATGCAGCATTTCGGCATGGGTCCATTTCCCTTCACTACTTCAGTATGCATGAAGAAAAGGAAGAGAATCCATTGACATGACATTCATTGTAGTATATACCCTAGTTATGGCATGTCCATGCTTCAACGTAATGGGCGCTTTGCATGGAATAAACAGTGGATTGGAGGCTTGTATCAATGGATGACTTTATTTGCAGGTCGTAGACCAGCAAGGACTTGACATGTAGTCATCGGTGGATGATGACCATGTCAAGTGTCCAGTTGTCGAATTTGAAGGGTCTCTACTGTACAGTATTGTAGATAAAAATGGCCCATTTTCTATCCTATACCGTACTGTCGATGGCAACTGATTGTATGCCAATGATGGCATGGAAAGCAAAGGGTTAGCCAGCAACCATTGCTTTCTAACCGGCATAAGCGATGATCCATGATAGCATGTAGTGTACGCCCGTCGATTGCTGTACTAAAGAGTCTTTTCCACACGACTACCTCATACCCTACTCTCTCCTCTATTGTCCAATCGCTCTCTACAGTCCTATACTACCACGCATACAGTACTAAGATCCAGGCATGCGCACTGTATCCTATTGTGGCCGCCATTTTGATTGAGGGCCCAGGTGAAGAATAGAGGTCATCGCCTTGCCCTTTTTCCCAGTCTAGTATGGCCTAGTGTCAAGAGTATTGTAACCCAAACCGATGCTTTCCTATTAGAGAAATGTATGGGCTAAGTGGAGGACAAGGGCAGACTGTATTGGCACATCGACACTCATTATTCCAGTGGAATTGACTGAAGAAGCAGCAGCGTGGCTGGATCTCTTTTCGACTCTTTTTTTGGATTGCATTTCGCCGCTATTTGTGTAATAGAGGTGGAGAAAAAAAGGAAAAGAAACGTAGCACTTTGAAAGCTTCTTGTCCCATCATCGATCGTAGTAGGTTTGAAGGCAATTGATCGTTGTTTGTATCGTAAGGAATTCAGCATGAAACGTAAGGTAGGAAGAGATTTCTCCGGTGATCTTCGTCACGATCTTAGGCATGATCGTCAATCAGCAATGTATGGCAAACGTGAACGAATGGCTTCTCCTGGCCGACCATCTCAACCACAATCGTCAAGATCGCCTAATTATCATCATTCTCAACATAGCAGTGGCTACCATAATATGGATGATCGTATCAAGCGTAAAGTAGTAGAAGTTCCATCGCATCGAAGTTATCCCGATCGCCATCGACGTGATACCGATACAAGTGCACGATTAAAATTGAAAATTACCAATTTACCTCGAGATCGTAGCGATGAAGATATTGAAAATAAATTGTATTATCAATTTAAAAAATTTGGCCAACCATCCATTCATGTCCAGGGTTTTGGTAAAAGTCGATATGGTGTAATCAATTTCAAGCATAATACACAATGTCGTGAAGCCAAAAGTTTTTGCGAACAAAATTCAATCTATGTCTTTGATCGCCCTGTCAATGTTGAATATTACCAAGGTAATCCTCAAGATGACATGGACGATATTCGAAGCGATGATTCCAGCGAATTCTATAGCAATCGGGGTCGTGATAATCGAAGGCAATATCCAAGTCGTATCGATGTAGAAGACGATTACTCACAATCCAGTAATACACACCGACGCCAAGATTGGAAACAAGGTGGCCGCAGAAATACCCCTATCACTTCCAATCGTTCTGGTAGCGGTTACTATAACAATCAACAACAGCAAATGGAATTCTTGGAAGATATCCCCAATCGAACTTTATTTATCGGCAACTTAGATACATCCATTAGCAATTACGAATTACGCCGTATTTTTGGCCGTTATACTATCATCGATATGGATGTCAAGCGACATCGTGGCCAATTTGTAGGTTATGCTTTTATCAAGTTAGCCACAATTCGTGAAGCCGATAAAGCCAAGAGTGAAATGGATGGCAATGTCTTGGGTAGAAATCGTATTAAAATTGGCTACGGTAAAGTTTATCCAAGTAAGCGATTATGGCTTGGCGGTTTAGGAACATGGATCAATCGAAATAGCATTGAGCAAGAATGCGATCGTTTTGGAGCGCTACGTGAAGTCGATTATGATTACAAGAATAATAAATATGCTGAAGTGGAATTTGCTACCGTAGATGCTTCCAAAGCTGCATTTGAAGAATTAACTCATAATACTTTCGGCCGTACTGGACGCCATGTCGAAGTCGAATATGTGGATACACAACATCAATATTTTACTGCTACATCATTTCGTGATCGTCAGCAACGCCATGATGACGATGATGGTAATGATTCCCATCATGATATCGTCGAGTCGCGTAGTAGTCGAAGAGAAGAAGGCGACTATTACAACCAACGATCGTATACCGATCGCAGTAGTAGTAGCCATCGTGATGACTACTATCAACGAGATAATGTAAGCTAAACAATAACACCATTAATGGTCATGGCTTCTTTTTTTTTTCTGCCCTGATCAATACTAATTAAGATGTAAAATAGATCTTTCCATTGGTAATGATCGTAATGATGACATAGCATTGCGTTGTACTGTATTTTTATTTTTTTCCATTCTTTTTTTTTTTTTTTTTTTTTTTTATTATACCACTGTCGTCTATAGCTTCTTGTCGTACACTACAATTTATTGCAGTAAATGAATAATGGATGACATAAATGAAAACATCAAATAGAATTGGGACATACCAATTGACTATTTTTGGATTTGATAGATATTTTTTTTTGTTTTATTGTTATCCACTTTGTAGCCCCCTGTGCCTCGTCGTCGAAGTGAAGAAAGGCGCCAAGATTATGCTGGTAGAAGAAGTAATAGGAAACCCTATTCACCTCATTCTGGCCATGATCGTAGACCTGGTAGCGCTGGAGGTAAAAGCACAGAATGGGTTTCTTCTCCTAGGCCTTCATCATCGTCTTACAGTAATTACGATGAACCACATCGACATCGTGAAAGAAGAGAATATACACCAGAAGGATCAATTCACGCCGATGATGAAACAAGGGATAACCGAGAAGAGAGAGATTGGATCCATGAACCGCGCTCACCTTCCAATGATAAGAATAACGCCTTAATGCGTGCATCATCAGCCGATAAAGAATCACCGATTGAATATGAAGGAAATACTGCACCCGATGGATTAACATCTTTCATTATACAAGAGAAATTTAAACATTGGGATACTTCATTTTTACTTAAAAGTAGTAAATTTATGACTAGATTGTTTTTTGTATCAGGAAGTATGGACTTTGCTGATTCAATTATGGATAACATCGATTGGTCAAGTCCTCAAAGTCCATTTCGAATTACACAACGTTTACGTCTTGATAATGAAAAATTAGGTGAGGTGAATAAAAGAATTGAAAATGCTGGACCTTCCAACTTTTGTTACGTTCTAGCCATGGATCGAAATGAATTTACTAAAGATGAGATATCGCCTGAAGACGATGCCAATCTAACTGGTCGTGAATTTCGCAATTTGGTAATGTATTTGCGACAAAAGGATGCTGCCGGTGTTGTTATGTTGGAAATGGCTGATAATGTAGAGTGTATTGTTCATGTCTTTCCACCATGCCAGTTTTCCAATAATCACTTGATGGAAGCATATCCGCGTATAAATCAAGGATATTTATCGCAAGATCATTTACTATTGATCATGGTTAAAGTATTGATAGCTTAGGCCTGTTATTACTACTATCATTATGAATAAATTGACGTATTAATGATCAATATTCGTGGTTATGGCATCCCCCCGAAAAAAATCAAGTTTTTCATTTCACTGGAATAATCAGTAAAGGAGTCATTTTTTTTTTAAAATCACCATTATTGTATCAATAATTTTATGACTTTCTTTTTTTCTCTCTCGCTATGACGTTTAGATTTCTTCACCTTATAATTTGGATTCAGCGTTTAAAAGTAGACATGTAATTTAATGTTTTAATTGAGATACCTATTTGCTATAGTTTATTTCCGCCCTTATTGACTTGACTAAAGATGTGGAATACAACAATTTATCTACTAATACTTGCTGTGCATATCAACAGTACGTAGATGTACCTAACTTGGTTTTCACATCGTTGTGGAAGGCTTCATTCCGATTGGAGACTGTTATCGTGATTGAAGAAGTTAATCACCAGTAAATGGCCTTATTGATTATTATTACTCAAATGTATAACTAATCAACTTCGAGAATGACCAGGCAATCTTATTCACCATATGTCATGTTATCATCTCGATTGCTTTATCAGTCTAGACGTAACAATGATGAGCGATCATAGTCGCCTTATTAATATTATCATTATTATTATTATCATGTTACCCTTTACAGTTTATGTGTCAATCATACCCAAAAAAGTAACTAATTAACAAGTTCAATAGTTTTTCCAACTTTATAACAGTTTGGAGTCATGGGTTGTTTTACAAAATTGTCCTGGCATATTATGCTGATAACGGCAATTATTTACGGATACCTTTCACTTTAAATGCATTAACCTGCGAAATCTCTAAACTTATATTAAAAACGTAAAAGGACTTCTTAATGCTATACCTGGAATAAATCTGTTCATTTTAACTGAATAGATATCAATATGGAGCAAGAATTTCAGATTCACAATTAATTTTAACTCTGATAAAATTGTCATTCATTTTTATTCTATTCCAAATAATACATCGTTGATCAAGCATTTCGCAAATCGATAATGCATACGCAATTCTTGACATGCTGTAAATGCCACCATCTTCCTAATTTGTGCTCTTGACCAATAGCGCATGCTATAAATTGGCCATTATGACTTAGAGCTAGTCCATTGATGAAACCTGGCTGTGTTGTCGAAATTATACAATTATTAATCAATTATAGTAACTGAATGTATGATATATTAGTAGAAACAAGTAATTTATATATCATTGTATTTTACTGTACTATCCTACCACCTTTAGTGTTATTGAAAAAAAAACATCAACGAATTGAAACTGATTGTATATGCAGTGAGAAACGAGATTTCTGCATGAAGCTTTAGGATAAGCATCACTGAACAGTTTATACATTTACAACAGTATGAGCCGAGTCAGTTGCGAGGCATAGATAGTTAACTTACCACATCGACAGAAAAAAGTGGACTTAATGTTGTATAGTCACGGCTGCTTCGCCATAATCGTAATTGATTATCGTTTGAACCTGCATACGTTCATGATCAAAACAGTGATGAACGATAAAGCAAAATTGGACGTTAAGATAATGTTGAAAGTTGAAAAGATTATATCAAGTTTAGATGTACCACTTATAGCTAGATCACTATAAGGAACCGACGCTACAGAGATGATCCAAGAATCATCTGTTGGAAGGTTTCTTTGCGGATTTGATCCGTGAGCGTTATCTCTGGTAAAAGTTGGCCTCTTTTTGTGAATATTCCATGTTATCAGCGATCTTACAATGCACGTTTTACAAAGTTATATCCAATTAATATCAATTTTACTATATTTCAACGTAAAATTTAGCAGCTATTTTATCACTAGAAACATAATACTTCAATTGCATCATTACCCGTCATCAGTGCCAGAAAGATAGTTATCTTCATTAAGCATGCAGAGGCATTCCATGGATCCTCTAAATGTTTATGTATCATATTCATGTATTATAAGTGTTCAATAAATATTGAATTTAACCAATTATCGTCAGTAGTTGTCCAACAAGAGTTACACCTGTCACTGAATACTGAGAATGGAACTATTTGCAACGTGTACCTTTATATTTTCACGCATAGAGTAAGACGTACCCTTTACGATAGATTGATTGTCAAACATTGATTTAAATCACATTTTATTTTGAAAAGTTAACCTTTTGTTGGTTTCGAATTTCAAATAGCTCTCGTCAATAATTTTCCAGACATGAATACTACAATCACGACCACCAGCAGTAACAGGTCGCTGCCGCCTGAGACAATCGATACCTAAAACTGCGTCTTGATGACCAAATCTATGAAAAAAAAAATGAAGTTGCATTTTACTGTCAATCCACGGTTAAATATAGTCATCCAAGCGTTTAATACTACATATACAGTATTGCAACATACAATGTTTCAACGTATGCCCTTTCATCCACGCTCCATACTTTCACTGATCTATCTTTGGAAGTGCTATACAATTCGTGAGAATTATGGCGAAATCGCAAGCCCTTGACATCATGTATAAAATCCAACTTAGCGTTAGTGAATAATAGCGCGTGCATATATTCTCGTACACAAATATAATAAAGGAAGAGTTTAAGGGATAACGTAGTAAGCAGTTGTATTGACATATTCTGTAAAGATGTATTAAAACCAATGTACACCACGGTTACAAAATAGCGACATTACTAGCAGAAAATACTAAGATTTTCTCACTTATTCAATCTTATTAATCGGTATTACTTTTGTAAGCAATGAAATATCAATCTTACACTAGTTATGAGTTTTTATAGTGGCATTAAAGCCAGCGCAGGAATGTTAAATGACAATGAGTAAGCAATATAGTAAGGAGTTCAATACGTTAATATAATTTACAAAGTGAGTCACACGAAACTAACCGTAATTATATCTTTATGTCCTTTAAATATATAACAAACTTCTTCCTTCTCTAAATCCCATAAGTATACAAGTTTATCCTGCCCACCACTCGCCTGTTTTATTTGTAATTAACAAATTTTCGATTACAATATACTGTTGTAGAATAAGCCTACCTAACGTTACTTGACAATGGTGATGTATAAGCTCTTAGGCTATTACTTACCATGTATTTACAATCCAAGCTGACATCTAAACATAGGATGTGTCCTTTATGTCCTTTCCCTTCGCCAGCTTTATGGAAGCCATGAAATACTTTCACTTTCTTAAAAGTTTCTAAATCCCCTATAAAATGAAAGATTAGCATAACTAACAGTAATTATAAAACACTAAAGGTTCTTATCCAATCCAATCCAATCATGTGCATAGAAATAGTATATTACTTCCATTCTTTTGGTATCAATTCATGCGTGAGGACTTACACTTGATTATAGAACTATCCTTTGAACCACTATAGACAAATTTACCATCATGAGAGAATGCTACACAAGTGACACTGAGTTTGTGTCCCTGTAACTTGATGATTTTATCAGGATCTGGTTCAATACACTGTGAAATAAATGGATCCAATTATGCCGCTATTAGAATAGCTGATGAACAGTAATTTTACAATCAACAACTAGATATCGATATTTAACCGTAAAGGATATTTTATCTCGTCACAAGTAAGAAACAGAATTTACATAAGAAGCCGATTAATTATTTCCTGTTCTTATTTTATGAATCAGTCATCGTAAAAGTATATTTTACCACATCATAAGTAACATAAAGAATCTACATAAGAAGCCGATTATCTTTTTGTTGTTATTTTATGAATAGTAGTCATTATCCAGTCAATTTATAAGTAAAAATTAAATCGAAGTTGCACTTACTTCATCGCATAATAATTTTTGTTGCTTTCCACTGTGGTCTAACTATATCATTGAAATGCGATAATGAAGCGCTATTATAATCAATGATATTTAGAATCAAAATCTTAGCTAATGTAATCCTTACAAATTCTTCTTTTAAACGGTGTGCAATTGCATCATGTGCAGTGTCTTTTGATTGCTGATCTTGCAATTCTAAGCAAACAGAAGAGGGCCGATTCATTAATGAAGAATTCAATTGTGCACAATAGTAAACTAGTGCTTCCTGTTGAGCTGTGTACAGCACATTGACGAAACATGGCCTATTGGCAAGATTGTACGCATCATTGTCTGACTAGTGAGTTTCGCTACCTTCTTGCTCTAAATGTCTAAGATATTCTTTGGCAAGTCTTAAGCGCTTATCCTCTGCAGTTTCACTATCATATTCATCCTCTGAATGTTCATCGCTCCTATGAGTGGAAGCTTGTATTTCTTCATCATCACTTGGAATTTCTTCATCTACGATAGCATTTCTCTTACTTCCTTTCATCTAATATTAACAATATCAACCATGTCATAGCACAATATAATTTCAATATTACTTTATATCAAGCATCGCTCTACATCTACTACATTGCATCTGTAACTACCACCCATTAATAATCTTTCATTCCATCATCAGGAATGAAAGAATGCATGCAGCCATTTTCATGACTATCAGTCCAGCTAAACTACCTATTCTACAACTTATTCACCTTTTTGGCCGGTCGACCGGCACCTTTTCGCCGTTTTTCGTTGGTAATAAAAAAATTGGAAGACATTTTCCTACTCCATCGATCGATAATCAGGACTTAAAGCGATGATATTTAGCACCAAATTAGAAATTTCCACTTCCAGGTATCAAAAGCGGATAGATGGCAGTTGTGGTTTTGGTCATGGATCTCATGCTTCGAGTGATTCCGCTCGTCTAGATGTCCGTTACCAATGTTAGTCACGTGTTGTCGATGAGCTAGCCTTTCAAAGATGTCGGATAGCTAAATCCAGCTAACCTTAAGCATCTAATTCGAGGCGAAAAGAGTGAATAATTATCGTCCATAGAGGATCATAAGCAATCGAATTCAATAGGTAGAAGTGTGTATTAACTTGGTGGAAGAAAGTGTGTGATCTAGATGATGGAATGCAGTACTGTTGGTCCATTGATGCCAGTATACTTTACAGAGTCAAGCCATGAAAATTCAATTCTCCACAGTATCATGTGCTTTACCACGGTTCCACTACTATACTACAGTATAGGATGTTGCCGCTAATGGAATTACAGTAGTAGCCATGGAGGTAAAACCTCGATGCTACCAGCAACGGCTAAACATTAAAACATGAAGAGGAAAGGCAGGAATTAGTAAAGACTTTTGATTGCCAACAACGAACAAGCTGATATAAGGTGATATCGCTGATCATAAGAACTCTACTCTACGTCTGGAAGCGTACATTGTTGATAGATGCGTTCTCAAGCAGCTACTAGGCATTTTGTGCACAGTGCGACGTACGGTTCCAGTCTTGCGGTACAGTTAAAATGACTAGCAAAAGGGCCCCCGAGCAAATGGTTGGTAATGAATTTTCGTCGTCAGTCCTTCTTGCTCGATGAATTATAATCCCTGATAGGGCCTGTCGCGAAATTGAACTATCTTAAAGAACTGTTAGCATTAATATAGGAGATCCTATATTAGTAGAGATATCCTCTCGATCATGATGATTATAATGGTGTTGTCGACTAAAAGTAAATTAATACTATAATCGGTTGTTATCTACCCCGCATTTGGAAAGGTAGATGATCATATATGGCGCAATGGTGTTAGTAGAAGCTCTTACTGTATTAATTAGGAAACTATAGTAACTTGAAAGGTGGCAGATGATACTTTACCACTTGTATGTAAAGTCAAGTCTTTCTGCAATTCGTTAGTTCTCATCCTCAGCTGACATTAGCCTCCCAATAAATAAATAAATGAATTTATAATGAAAAGTGGTTACCATCCGCTGATGTTTTCTTTGGATATGAATTTTATGACATGAACCATGGAGGTAATTTTCTTTTACTTCTGCAGAAAGGATTATACACCTTCTCTTCATCTTTTAGAAGTCCCAATAGCGATGAGAGAAAGTGCTACAAGTTCCTGCAAAATCTTTCAAGGCACTATTCTTGCCTCACCACTTTATTAGTGTGTAGACTGGTCGACTTGGGCGACATTTTGCGCTACTTGTGTAGCCAATAACGTTATTAAAATCGATATATATGTAATTAATTAATATATAAGGTGTAGTCGTGGTATAACTGATTGGATAGCTACCCATACTCACGCGTTTATTTGCAGTATGTAGAAATCATGAATAACGTAGAGCTACCGTCATAAGATGGCGCACCCTTGAAAAAATCCGTTTGGCAAGTACGTACAGACACCCATTGCGAGGTAGAAGTAGAACATCTGCGGCTTATTGGCAGTGTTTCTCAATACCAGTAGCTATTCTATTTACAAGCTCTGCTGAATGATCTGAAACGTTTTTGGATGGAGTGATTGTAAAATTTTCTATTCCATATTTGCAGCACAGCTTGTCTCAACGCTGCATCTTTAACTTTGTACTGCTTGCAAGAGCAAGTTATCATATGCTTAGCATATTTAGATGATAATTTATAAATAGGAAACCTCAAAACTGAACACTACTGGATACACCCTAATACATCTAGTACTCCCTGGTATATCTAGCAATCCATAATGACTGATGGACTACTAGATGCGCTATGATATATCTAGTAATCCATGGTATACCAGTATTTAGCAATCCATGGTGACTGATAGACTGCTAGATGCACTATGATATGTCTAGTTGTTTATGCTTCTACTGAAAGGCTTTTGAATGGAATGATTGTGAAATTTTAAGTTCCATACTCATGACACAGAACGTCCAAAGGTGTATCATTAGCTTTATCAGCGTACAACAACAAATTATTTTTGTACTTGACATATTTAGACGATGATAAATGGAAAACCTCATGACTGCTACTAAATTTTCAAGCACTACAAGCTTAGAATGCAATAAATTTTGATACAGAAATGGAATTATAATAGAGCCACTTGAGCTATATTTCGCATCGAAACGTCCAAAAATATCGGATGTCACAATAATATCATCATTGGTGAAGCTAAAGCAAGCATGTTAAATTATCTCCATTTATACTCCATTTGTAATCAATGCTACTAAATCACACATTCTAAACTTCGTTTATTCCAAATTATTGCACCTACAAAATATTTTTTATCGGTCTATCGATAATTTATGGAATTCCATTTACAAATCGCAAGCTAAGCTGCTACTCGAACGTTTACGAGTACTATACGATATCAAAGGCTAATTGAGTATTACTCTATCTTAGATGAACGCCTTATTTGCATAATGGCCTATCCCATTCTTCATGTATTTTAATTAATAGTGTTTTTCTCCCTTGACTGATTGTTTTACATGCTGTTATTGTGCCGACATCATTATTATAAATGCAAATTATATTACAACCGTAACTACTATATGTAAAGTCACGATGGCTATAGCAAACTTGAACGCCAATAACCACTCATAAGCAGCATGTAATAGACAATACAAGAACCTGGATAGGATCAGATATTATTTTAATGTACACGTAACAAATTGATTCGGAAGAGGTTCGAAAATTAGGGATTCCATTTAGTCTCGGTTTACTTTCAGTCGAACTAGATGCCAATAAATAAAAATAATAATGAGCAAGGTTAATAGAATTGATGTAAACCCCGTTGATTATTCATCGGATCAAGAAAACATGAAAAATTCTGATTCAACAGCTGTTTGCTATCGACCCTTTACACAAATTTTTAAAGGAAAGAATCAATCTACGTCGGAACCACACAAAAAGAGAAAAAAGCAAACTCGAACCGCTGAGCTGATAGGCAATTCTCTTATCAGTTTAAGCTTGGCAGTGACTAAAGTCGGTCCAACAGATGTTTATCAAGTAAGTACAACTACGGAACTAAGAATAGTGTCAACATCATTAGGACATTTAAAATACAATGAAAATCAATTAAAGAACCGATTATAAATTCTTAACAACAATTAACGACACAAGCTATTATAACAGTGTCGTAGGATATATTTTCTAACGTTGTCATAATGGATAATTACCACATTTTATAAGAGATTACTTCTCCCTTCTGATATCCTCCGCTCTTTAAAGTTATAAATTTATCAACTACGACTATAGTGTAGGGAACGTTTATGAATCTGTATAAGTAATTTTTGATATACTACATTCCTGTAAAAGTATGAATAACACTTTAAGCGTATACGTTCTCTAATTACTGTTAAAATTTGCTAATGACAACCGATAGGATCAAGGATTCAAAACTAATCATCATGTTATTTATAAATTATAACATATCTTAACTGCATAGCCACATTAATTAAACATGGTATTTTAAGAGCGAATGACTCTATATCAAATTACAAATCATACATCAACCATCATATTATATATGATAAAAGAGATTATTCCAGTTCTGAAATATTTGTATATCGTTATTGTAATACACTAGCTATAAGCAGGAATTTCTCGATAATAAATGTCCTTCTCTCTCTCTCATTCTATTATTATCGAGAAGTCCCTGCGATAAGCACTGTAGTAATCAAATGATGATGGTATTTGACTAGAAATATCTACCATCGGTAATAGTCGTAGGAACAGAATCCATTTACTATATTGAAATTTCATCAAATTTCTTCAAAATGTCTAATAGCCCATTAGATGAAACTGATGGTGACGATACATACAATTATTGCTCTTGATTTAAACGTTATAATCTAGATTTTTAATTAAATTATTTCGATCAAATAGAGAAAATAACCAATCGAGCTATCTAGTAGAGAAACAGTTACTGTAATGACGAAATATGATCATGATTACTACAATATTTATAGTAATGGATAGATCTCAAAAGGAGTCAAAGCTAACTTAAAGTACAAAGGAAACTGAATAACACAGTGCCATCTAGCACCTTAAAAACGCGAATTGGCACTCAAAATGAATGATTCTATTTAACACTATGCAATAGGCTGCAAAGAATGGATTAGTTGATGATTTGGAAAGAGGGTTGAAATCCCGATATCATCAAGACAGGATTAATTATCCGGATGAAAATGGATTAACGTTAATGCATATAGCAGCTATCCACAACCATGGCGATATTATCGACTGTTTAGTCATACATGGAGGAGGTAAACTATCACAAATAGCAGTACTAACTAAGGGCGATGAACAAAGAATTTTAAATATAGAATTAATTAGTATCTTGTTAAATTGTTAGCCTATATCACATCCAATATCATTTACTGTAATGCTGAAATTTCGATCATAATTTTATACCTTCATTTGATATCTAATCTAGAAACAAATATTAAAATTGGTGATGGTGAAGAATCACCGCTTCATGTAGCTGCTAAACATAATTCCTGCGATGCTATACGTACTCTTATCCAAAATGATGCTAGTATTGACAGTGTCGACAGAAAAGGTCGTACTCCATTGCATATCTGCTGCAAGAATGGTTGTAATGAAGCAATTGAGGTAAGCTTTTACCCTTAATCTTTAAGCTAAGATAAATAAGATGTCGTATTTATCCCTTAGTCAGGTCTTCTCCCTAATACTAAATTGCCGTCCTAACAGTTTTAGTTACTTTGCATTTTATATAGTGGTTGTTGCCCATTATTATTCCTACTCATTTTACATCTTTCAGGTTATCATGGGTGAATCTAATCCCAACTCAACCATTCCACATATAATAAACTGTCACGATAAAGAACGAACTGTGCCATTGCACTTGGCTGCAATATCATGCACAGTTCGATCGGTAGAATTATTGGTAAGTAGAATGGATTTAAAGTGATTCCAATTTGATTTTTCTAGCAAACCCTAACCTATTTCTTTAATGTAAAATTTCTAATTTTTGTAATACTAATGGAAAATACATTCATCAGCTACATCACGGAGCTAATATTTATAGAAAGGATATCGGAGGACATACTGCACTACATCTTGCAATTAAACGGAAGAGAACTGACATCATACAACTTCTATTGCGTTATGGTATGTTGATAGGCTTGTCAAAATTAAACTCTTAGGTAACGGCACGATAGACACGATTATTTCCATTACTATAGCAATAAAATACGAAATATCGGCTGAATTTTATGTTTAGAAATGCAGTATTAGTCCATATATGTATACTCATATACATGTTAATTACTTATTATTTGCTTTGATCATCTATAATTTAGTGTTTTGGTACATGGAGAAATAGATAAAGGCATCATTAACTATTATATCTTTAACATATGTGTTTATAGAAACTAAATTACTTATCGTATAGCTTATCTATTGAAGAAAAGATTGCAATATTCGACTTTTATTCTATTTTGCGTCGAATTATATAAGTTACTATAATATATTAATCATTACAGCCAAATCGAAGGGGAATAACGATTATGTTAGTATCGCTAACGAAATGGGGTTGACTGCTATTCACTTTGCAGTAGATTCTGGTTCGATTAAGGTAGTAAAAATTTTTATTCTAGGATCAAAGTATAATAGATTTAAAATACTATACATATTTGACATAATGTACCGTAATGTTAATTTATTCTATTCTTTTTCCTTCCTGCTTAAACTGTGGTGATTTAATATATACTTGATTTATATTATACTAGAATACAGAGCTATGTTTGCAATATGATGCCGATATTGAAAATCAATCGGTAAGTTTTTATATTTGCTTCTATCCTTTTAGTTTAATTAATTCATGGTTACAGTCTCAATAAATATTTGAAGCGAATTGGGTTTTAATGAGCTATTTTACTTTAACTGCATTCTAATTTGAGTAACGATATTTTTAAAATTATGCAATTGAAGATATTTTCCATGTTTGCTATTAAACAGAATGATCTCTTGACACCCCTTCACGTGGCTGCATTAAATGGATTCTACGATATTGTAAATCAATTAATTAAACGAGGATCTAAAGTTAATACACCTGATTCCGCATCAAGAACAGGATTACATTATGCCGCTATTAGCAATAATGTGAAAATAATGAAATTACTGCTAGATAACGTAAGATGTTCAATTTTGAATTTTAAAAGTATCTTACTCAAGCTGATCGATTATTAATTGGTCTACCAAGGACGCATATCTAGAAGCAATGGATGGTAGTTTGCAAACACCCCTTATGGTTGCAGTAAGTCATGACTGTAGCGATGCTATAGCCTTTCTGTTGGAACAAAAGGCAGCTATTTCAGGTCAAGATATTCAAGGTAGAACCATCCTGCACATTGTTGCCGATAAAGGCACTTCAAAATCGTTTAAACTTATCATGCAAGTAAGTAGATCTAAAATGAAATATCTACTTCGATTAATATCATTGCATTGCAGTGGCTTTAATTCTGTTATATTTTATCTAACTGTAAATTCGAATATTTAAGAACTCTCATCTCCTTCTAAATATTCAGTCTTTGAATGATATGCTGTAATCACAACAAGAACAATATTAATCTCATCCATTTAAGCATGTTTCGGATATTAAACTTGGAATATTTTAATTTTATTTTGTAATTAATTATTATATAACACTTTTAAGCGAAAATGGTTAATTCTTTGCATCATGCAAGGCATAATTGTAGATTTTGATGGCAGATAATGATAATAATCTTAATTTACTTCGAACATAAACTGATTTTTATCCAACATAACTCGATAGCAATGACTGTAATTTTACATTTCAATTACCGTAATGGCTACTGAAAACGAAATAAAAATTCCTATCTTCGTAATTCAAACTTCTAATAAGAGATTGTAATAACGATATAAATTTTCTTGGATACCATTTTTAAATTTTAGTCATTCTAACATTATTGCAATTGATTCGATTTATTTAAATACACCCGTGTACGTGTTACCTTTTGATAAAAATTAATCGTACTTATCGCAAATATCGAGTAATTTCATCCCATAACTGCTAGCTTTTAAGAGAAACAAACCGCGTCTGCCAGTCTAACTGTAGTCTTCTAGCATACCTATCACAGTAATAACATAAATCTTCTGTAATTTAAGTTTGTTTCATTTGCTGAATATGTAATTTCACCTAAAATGTATTTTTACCCTAGCAAATGGCTTGTAGAATCACCTGTTTACTCGTTTGAATACATACACGATACGATTGTAACAATTAGCGAATATTCATAATACCATGCAGTGTATTAGCATTTTATCAGAGGAGATATTGTGTAGATATTTTAGTAACAAGATTTTGCATCTATTTCTTGCCAGAACGGTGGTATAGAGCTCCTCAATGTTCCTGACAATGGTGGTTTAACTCCACTCTTGCTTGCTGCAGAATCAGGAGCCCTTACAGTTAGTATTAATAGACATCGATCGATACTATATCAAGTTTGAGACCGTATTATGTCTTATAAATATAGTAATTTTATAGCTAGTTAGGCTCATTTATGTTTTAATATTTTGAAATACATCCTAGATACTTTATCAAATTTTAACCATGTATGGCGATCAAATCAAAGTTCACGAAGATAGTAATGGCAATAATATCTATCATTTGGCGGCTAAAAATAATCATCGTGATACCATTAAAGCTCTCACTGTCGAGGGTGAATCGTTTGCAAATGTTAATGCTCGAAATATCTTAGGACAGCGAGCAGTTCATCTTGCCGCTGTTAATGGAAATAATCGTGTCATTATAATGCTAACTAAACGAGGAGCAGATATTAACTGTAGGTAAGTACTTTAAAGGATGCTCTGATGCTACTGGAATCAAAAAAGGATTACATTAAATTTTGTCCGAGTATCGTACTGTATAGAATATGTAGATTTAAAGTATTTTAAATCATAAACATTAATACATGTTTGACTCCTATTGGAAATGTTTTAAAGGGATAACCGCGGTTTTCATCCAATTCATTACGCTGCTAAGTATGGCTATTCAGCGACTGTCAAGTTGTTACTATCGCTCGATGACAAAGTGGATATTTATAATGATGCAAAAGTAAGTTAAGTATCTTTTGGACAATGAAGATTAAGTCTTTGGAATTGACAAGCTACCACTATTTGCCAGAATCTAATTCAAATCCATTCCTTTCTAAAAAGAGTTTCCTATTATGTAATTACCTACCTAAGCACTGTATTGCGACTTTATTATCACGGTTTAGAACAGATAAGAATTTATTTTCAACATTAATATTAAGCCTAAAAATTCAATTCTAGCAGGAATTTTGATTAGACCAATGTCAAGTTTAAGGAATTTTAAGGTGTCTACTTCGCCGAATTAGCTGAAAGCAGCAGTACACTTCTGTCCTTTGTTAGTACTCCAGTAAATGTTAGAATATTAGATTTAGTACGTTGTTATACTGACATAAGTACAGTACATTAGAAAGGATATGAACATCTGTATTTCTAACTTTTAACAGTTAGTAATTCAAAGATAACTTAAATTGATCATAGGGTTAAATATTAGTTATGGATTTATTCAAACCGTACTTGATAGTTTACTTTCATTTCTAATTCTACTAGAAAATTTTATGACAATTTTTATGGCCTAATAATCTTTATGATATAAAACCTATTTTATTCTAACAATCAGCAGCAAATAACGCTCATATCCTCGTGAAGATAATCCCACCAACTTGCCATTAAATCTCCGAGCATATCATTATTCTTTCTCGCTCTTAATAGTGTAATAATAAATACTTATATAGACATAACCAATAAATTACAAATGATTACAGTAATTATTGGTTATTAAATTTAGTTTAATAATCTCGACTCCCGCTATACTATCTATTTTACGTAACTAACATCCGGTACTTTCAAAATAAAATAGAAAACCCCACTACTCATTGCTTGCGAGATGGGGTTTAGTGAAGTGGTTCAGATCTTACTAGATCATGGTGCTGATCCAACTTTACTGAACGACAAAGGGCAAAATTGTCTAGATATAGCTTGCGAATACCGAAGCGAGGACATTGGCCTAAAAATTATTAAAACTAAATTGTAAGTCAAACAGTAAAACTGCTTACTTAGGACATGTTGCGTACTGATTCAATAATGTAACACTCAGCATACTTGGGTAATATGCAAATCTGTAGCGTCAATATAATTTTCATTTACATTTGCTTAAATTTTTGGATCATGTGCTACTAATTAATCAATGATTACGAGTCTAAGGATACTTTAAATATAAGTGTTTTGCTGCTTAATATAACCATTTTTCGTACAGTCACTAAATGCAATTTAAATAAGCACCATAAAGGAATTATCAATGTAGCTCACTAATTTGAGCCTATTTCTATCCATACAGTTGGCAAAGAGTGATGGAAAATAGAGCCTATGATGGCTATAACCCTATGAAAAGGCTAATTGAAAGATTACCTAAAGTGGCTGAGGTAGCTAGGAACAATTATGCTCGAATAAGTAATCGCCATGATAAAATCGAAATTTCAGCTATTATAAATCATAATCAAATTGAAATAGGACTACTTCAAGAGTAACCATAAAGCATTACAATCATCATGTGAATATAAATCTTAAATCCAATAATATCTAGTACTAACTACTTTTGCTAGGCTGTCATGGATAAATCTTTTACTTTTACGAAGAGTAAATACGGAAGAGAAGAATGGAAACAGGTAAGGAAATGTCGCATCGATACAGTATACACACATTCTGGACAGGTAGAAGAAAGAAAATAATGCGGACATACCTCAATATGTGCTTCATCGCACCTATTAAATATAAACAGTTCGGATAAAGCGATATTTTATTCTAATAAAAATAATAGCTAAAATATCTAACTTATGTCGACCAGGTTAATTTTGACCTCAAATTTATCGAATCACCACCTGAAGATGTCCATTTACAAGATGTTCATGATAAATATATAGCAGTTAATGTAAGTAAACTAGGGTTAAAGATTATCTAGAATTAATTTCTGAAACTTTAGCACCCTAATCTGCTCGGTATTTATGTAATTGCGAAAATTTGAAATCTGCTTAGAGTATTAGCCAATATAAAAGGACACGATTAATGAAACATCCTTTAATAAAGGCGTTTATATTCTGGAAATGGTACGCAAACACTTTAAAACTTTCTTTTAAAGTTGAGTTAAAATTAGTTTGCTTCGAATTTTTATAAAGCATGGAAGACTAGTTTTTAGTAAATATCATCGTAAGCTAGACATTAAAGTAACGTTAGATAATTATAATCGATCGTTTGATTTCTATGGATCTATAACCCATGAACTGACCGAAACGGAATGGCATAGCATTAATCTGTAAACTTTTATTGCTATCTTTTTAGGAAATCTGTATTAAATTATTTGTATTTCCTGAAAATATTTACCGACATAATTTATTTATTTGGCTTATCTATCCCAATTGGTTTAAATGCTATAGAATTTCTTAACGCAACGTCTTATAATGGTTCTACAAATAGATATGATATGATTGTAAGAGATTATAATTGTATTTAATAGCATTAGTAAATTTCTGATATTAGTAAGCTTGATAAATATAGAGAAAATTAGCGGTATACTTTACGAACTTTACTCCAGTAAGTCGTTGCTTACAGTTAGCAAGTATAAACCGATAGAGTATTTAGTGCAGTAGAGCGGTTATTTATCACACTCATGTATATTAACAAAATAGAGTTAAAATATTAGCAGAATTACTTCACGGAATAATGTACAAATTTGACTGGAGTTAACTTTACAGTTGATCTCGTAGGCAAATGGCATAGTTAATATGGTTAACAGGTATTTGATAGACTGTTTCTTGAATATTAACGCAATATATACAGGTAGTTTACTAGTCTTTAATTTTAAGATTCGTACCCTCTGTTTTAAACTCTATTCTTCTTTTTGGCTTTAGCAACTTCCTGGATCTTTTGGTAGAAATTTAGCTGTATTTATAACCGTTACAGCGATGCTGACATCACTTCTTTATTACCTTTTTGCTGGAGTAAGTTGATGCAACATGAATGATAAATTTTAGATGATATCTAGTGTCTGCTATTAATAAAGTGCAACCTATTAAAGGAACTATTCAAGCTTTGCTACTATACAAACATACGTGCTTTGAACTGATATTACATAAAATTCACTCAGCCAGCAATATCTAGGCTATAAAAATTAAGAACTTCAGCTAGAATTTTTACTTCCTGGTTAAATAACTTCAATCTAATTTTATTATTGATAATATCATAACACTCCATCAGACATTCAATCAGCTTTAATTTATACTAATTTAAGAAATAGCTACTTGCTTGACTTGTAGTTAATCAATCCAGAATAGTATTATTTTAAGTTTTTCCCTTTTTAAATTATAACAGAAAAGAGTCTTTCTAGATTTAATGAAGCAGAACCTTTTTGAAGTTCTTATTGCCGCTGTGGGTTATGTTTACTGCTTGCCGTTCAATAAGCCAATCGATTATTCTGTAATACGTGTTGGCGCTATTCTGGTGTTTTTACTTTTTGTAAACATTATCCTTGTTCTACGCAAGTAAATTAATCGTTTTAAAATAATGTCGATGATTAATTTTATTTTAGTTCTAATAATAGTGGGAATGAAAGAACGCCAGATTGAAAATTTAAAGCATAATCCTAGAAATAGCCTTGCATAATATAAGAAACAAGTTTAGGAAACTTAAACCTGCTAGAAAATTTCTTATGACCGAATTTTTCTTCTCATTGATTTTAGTTTATACGGCATTGGGCTGTATATTGCCATGTTCCTCAATATCATAAAAACAATCTTTATGACTTCCTTCGTGTTCATGTTATTCGTTGTTGCCTTTGCCCTTTCATTCACCATGATCCTAAACGATTTGGTAATTTCGAAATCGACAGCATAATACGATAAAGGCGATATTGAATTTCAAATTGACTGCGGAACTTCTAATAATTTATCTTTGAAAGAGCTCTTATCTTAGTGTAATATTCAGAAATTGCTTTCATATTTGCTTCTATAGCCATTTTTTAGTAGCCTTGATTATTCGGTTGTCACGGTTATGACGATGATGGTAGGAGAATTAGGCTATTACGAGGCTTTTGAAAGATTAAAAAGTACAGGGCGATTGCAGGGTTTCAAGATTGAGTTACTACTATTTGTTGCCATGATCATCGTTATTAATATAGCGTTCGCCAACTTATTGGTTAGTATTTTTCCTTAAGAAATTTTATGATTTTATTGTAACCAGAAATTATGGTCTAGAACTATGTTATAACAGATTGCATTAGTTTCTGATATTTATGTGTTGAAATACGGTAAATAGTCAATATCCGAATACAAATGGCGATTTTTAAGTGCAGTTAAAGAAGCTAAACTCTTTTTCATTGTGGCATAATTTTTTGATTTTAAGGTGGGTTTAGCTGTGGGTGATATCCATGAAGTTAGAGAAAGTGCAAATTTAGACCAATTAGATGGTCAATTACAAGTTATTATCGGGTCTTATGAAGCCTTTCCATTATTTCTGAAAAAAAAAATGTACAAGTCCACACTTATATTTAGGATAGACCAGAATACTGGCCTATTTAAAAGGGTTAGTCAACTTTGTAATTTAATATTCTTAATATTTCTTGCGTGATTAAAATAATAATATATAAAGGAAACAGCTATAGCTAAAAATACTTTGTAAAGTCAAATTTGAATTGCAAATAAAGTGTTACCTAATTTATACATTTGTATATGTCATATCTATAACGAGACTAGATCACTTCATATGGATTAAAAATAATCATTACAATTTTTATTTAACATGTAGCGGCAATGGAATTTCCTCACCGCTTACATTAAGCCAGTTAAAGAGGATAGTGGAGACACTTGTCAAGAATCGGAACTTACAGAGCTGAAAAATCGTGTAGCTGCGCAGGAAATTGAGTGAGTTTAGATTATCTTATAGATTATTAATTTAGTAATTTCTAACAAGATTTTGACGACACAAAGTATTAAAAGGGAAAAGTGAACTTAGAATTTACAGAGTCTGATAACATAT